GGGCGGTGTGTGCTGCGTGCTGCCAGGCGGTGCGTGCTGCGCGCTGTCGGGTGACGTGTGCTGTTGTGCGGCACTGCCGGGCGGTGCTTGCTACTGTGCGGCGCTGCCGGGTGGTGCTTGCTACTGTGCAGCCTGCTGTGCGTGTTGCTGCCTATGACTGCGCCGCAGTGCACTGCCGGTCGGTGTGTCCATAACATCACACCCCTCCTAGACAACGAGCTTGTCTTCAAGCTCAAATTCCGGATACGTGGTTTGGAACTCTGCCAGTGGATCAAACGGCTGCACACTATCTCTCAGTCCACCAAGAGCATGAACAACAGGGACTGCCCCGTAGCTTAGTGCATAAAGCTGGTTCAGTCCACATGGCTCAAATCTAGAAGTTATGTGTAGGATGTCTGCACCAGCAGTTATTCGATGAGCCATTTTCACAGAGAAGCCAACCCAACCCCTGACTTTGTCATGGTGTTGACTCTCAAAATGTCTGAGAAGCTGTTTCAGGTCAGGTCTCCTAGTGCCCAACATGACTAGTTGCACATCCTGGTCCCCCATCGAAGGAATGGACTCAACAATGAGATCAACACCTTTCTGATGGTCAAGCCTGCCAATGAACCCAATCAGAGGAACATTCTCCCGAAGAGGAAGACCAAGCTCCCTTTGTAGAGCTGCTTTGCATTGAGGCTTGCCAGTCTGAAGAGTCTCCATAGAGTAATTGGTGTAGCCATCCGATGCCAGGTAAACATCTAACTGTGGGTTCCCTTCGTTTGCATCAATCCCATTCACGATGCCCTTTAGCTTCCAATCACACTCATTTATTATTTGATGCAGACCCCAGCCACCTTCTTTAGTTTTCAGCTCCCAGGCGTAACCATGGCTTACGATGACTACACGATCTACTGCTCTCAGGCCAGCTGCAAGGACATTGAAGTGTTCCCCACCTCCTGGGTCATGTAGTTTGAAGTAGTTTTGTGGAAGATCCACATAACGAAADYCGYGTACTGGACCACGACCCCGGTGTGCTATGTTGTGGATCACAGGAACGCACCGGGTATACTTACAGAAGAGAACCTCAAGAGCAGCCTTACAGAAGAGAACCATGCATTTTAAAATATCCCCTCGGCCTCCCCCATATACATTTTTCTCAATATTGTGGAACATAGGGCTGTCCATGAACACAAAATCCATGTCGTCAATATAAGCTTGAAAGAAAGTTACCTCCATATCCGACCCATCCACCTTATATCTCTTGCGCACTCCTGTTTCTTGGGCATAGTTACCATCCTCGTGCGTTGATTACGAAAGAATTGCTCGCAGCGGTACAACCCTCCCAGTGGGTCGCCGCTGCCGCTCTATGAGGGAAACTCCAAACAGCTATACTTGGGAATAACTGCGGGTGTCGGGGCAGCGATCCGCTATTCGCTGGATGCCTCTGCCCAGTCCAGATGACAACTATTTGTGTTGGCGATTTCCTCAGAACTTTTTTCTTTGTTGGAGAGGCATGCTTCCAACAGGCGTCGCAGCTACCGGACATCTTCCTTGACTTCACGAACCTCCATGCTGGTTTCTGCTAGCCTATGTTCCAGTTTGTGGACCTTGGATGATAGCTGCTCCATATCGCCCATGATGTTGGCTCTGATACCAGAATGTTATGGGCCCGCATGTAGGATCTTGTCACGGGTCGGTCCACAGGGAGAAAGCCCCGCTTTCCCTTGCGCCTTCCCTTGCATGCATAACCTATTGTGGAAAACCGAATGGGTGATTTGTCCAAGAGACCACCCGAACTCTCCTTACTCTTCTCTTGATTGGAAAACTGAATACCTTTATTTCATCTCATAGCTCCTTAAATAGGATATTACAAAAGGGGGTTCCTTGTTGGATTCGGCTAGGCTAGGGTAATCCAACTTAAACTCAAACTCCTAATTACCTACTCCTAAWGGTAACAYAACTCTTACTTAAGATAAGATAAGATAAGGATAAGGATAAGGGATGAGGAATGGTGTAGTTGGCGGCGAGTTGGCGGGCAAAGCTAATGTGGTAAGATAAG